TGCACAGTAAACATGTGATTGTATAGAATGAAATGGAAATAAAAAGACTTGTGGAAAAAAAATATCAAGCTTACTTTATATCCTTTCACAGTAGATTCATTGGACTGTGACTTAACATGCTCCCATGTGATGATGTACTTTGAACCGGACCTTACAGCATTAATAATTCTTGGTTGCTGCCTTGGAGCTAAAAAAAAATAGCATATCCCTTTATTCTATACCAGTACAATTAAATTTTATAAACATTATTCTTTCACTCAAACACATTTGTCTATTTATGTCCCGAAGTAAAATCCACCAATGATATTATCTACTACCTACTTCCCATTCTGAATTATACAATTATGCATAGCTTCCCCTTGCTTAAAAATTGCCACCAGATCTTATGCAGCTGCTCTCCAGCATTTGCAGACCACATCACAGTGATCTATGGACAGAAGCAAAACTATGCAGCCAAGATGATACTGTCACAGGATCTAACAACTTTACACCAGAGGTCTAAGTATCTATCAATATGCATCATTTACCAGCAATGACAGAACATTTAGAAAACTGGCAACTCCATATGAAAAAAATAATAATTAAAGGTAATTAAAACATTACAATATCCACAAATCAGACATGGAATATTTCAAGCTCCCGGGCATTTTACATTGAGCTCATCCTTGAGCAAGGAGTTTTAAGACAAATTGTGTTGTTTTATGAAGTCTATAGATACAAGTCCCCTTTTTCTATGTCCATATGATCTTATCTTTACTATTCAGATCCATCTCCTACTTTAGATGCTTACGTGCTTTTTCTGTAACAAAGTCCAAAGGATAAGTGTACGGTCCAATGCCAGCTGCATTGAAAGCTGCCACTTTTGCATAATATTTTGTATAAGGTTTCAGGTTTTCTAACATAACTGAAAAATTCTGACTGCTCACTTGCACTCTACTTGCAGCTATTTCTTTTTCACTGCTGGACCAGTAACTGATCTGTAAAAATGAAAAAAAAAAAGTCAAATGTAAAAGAAATATATATTTGGAATAATTACTCCTTATTATTTCAAAATCAATGGAAACTTACATTTAAAAACATACCAGATTTCAGAACTAACTCAGCAGGAGCAACAGAGAAACTGAGATTTTGCCCCACTGCCCAGCTGCTCCCTCAGGAAAGCAAGACTCTTGGCTCCATTGAGTTGAATAAAAAAAACTTGAACTGAGAGCGTGTGAGCGTGTGGTTGCAGTAAAATCAGGTGAGATCTGAAAAAGCCCATGCAAAGTACAAAGCAATCCTTTCACCCCCAACCCCCTGGCCAGTCCACCAACAGCCAATGTGATGCTGCAAGGATGTTTTGAGAACTCTGAGGTGTTAGGCAGATAATGGTTCATTCTCATGACTATCTTGAAACCTGGCTGGAACAGGTGGGAGGCAGTCTGCTCTGTCTCCGAAGACCCCTCTGTCCCCTCCCTAATTCCCAAACACTTACAGCAAAAACAAAAGCATGAGAAAAAAGCCAGCAAGCCATCCTTCCCACCCCCACCCCACTTCCAACAGAACGGCAGACATGACACAATCATCCAGGTCATGGCTGTCCCAAAGATGCTGTTCAAAAGGTCTGGTTTTTCTTGTTCTTTTCCTTGAAAACATTTTGCTTCTTATCCAACAAGCTTCTTCAGATCTGAAGAAGCTTCTTGGATGAGAAGCAAAACATTTTCAAGAAAGAAAAACCTAAGAAAGTCCATTTGCCTTTTAAATAGCACCTTTGAGCCATAGAAACTGGTATTCTGGAATACTCCATTTACTCCCAGCAACTCCGCCATTTAGATTGAATTCTTTTGGGGGAATCACTTTAGTGGAGTCACTGCAACCTTGGTAGAGGGGTGTGCATGCATGAATGAGCACAATGACTGGGAATCTTCCCAAAACAAGAACTGGAGCGGTTGGGAGAAAGCTTTAAATCACTCAAGGCTTCCTTAAGAGAGAACGAACACGGATAAGTGATAGCCAAGGGGAAATGATTCTCACTCCAGGGATATATTCAATTTGCCAGATAGGTAATGGTGTAAGGTTTCCTGCTTCTTTGATATTTGGCTAAGAGATTCCAGGTGGGTGAGTACAAGAAGTCCTTGACTTACAACAGTTCATTTAGTGACCATTCAAACTTACAGTGGCACTGAAAAATGTGGCTTATGACCGTTTTTCAGTTACAACATTTGTAGCATCCCCATGTCTATGTGATCAAAAATGAGTTGCTGGGCAACTGATTCATATTTATGACCGTTGTGTCCCAAGGTTATGTGATCACCCTTTGTGACCTTTTGACAAGTAAAGGCAACGGGAAAGCCAGATTTACTTAACAACCAGGTTACTAACTTACCAACTGAAGTGATTCACTTAACAATTTTGGTAAGAAAGGTTGTAAAATGGGGCAAAACTCACTTAACAACAGAAATTTTGGGCTCAATTGTTTAAGTCAAGGACTACCTCTATATTTTCCTTTTAAAATATTTTACTGATTTATTAGTACAACATCTCAGAAGTGATGGGGAATAGAAAATTTGGTTTTGGCAGGTTGACAGGAGAAAAAAGTTTGTACATTTAAAGAATTATTCCTCCTCCTAACAGTTGTTTCAGGTTCAGAACAGATTGACGCATATCCCTAATGTCTCCTTTTGCTACAGGACTCATACTAATCCTTGTACTAATCCTTTTAGTAAGGCATTGCAGATAAAACCTCTTGTATTTAGCATGTCTAGATGTCAACTATAGAAGTGTCAAGTAATTTCTTCTGAATAATGAGAATGGGTCATAAGTCAGAAGCTACTTGTGCTTACCATTATTGCATTTTCTGGTAATTGTTTGTTTGATCGTTTATGAATCACTATAGTACTTTATATAGACATAAACTCCAGGAATAGCAAAGGCAAAAGTATACAATTCTCCAAAGCTATTCTTGTATTTATAATCCATTTCAAACTCAGATACACTTTTTGACTATAAAAATAAATATGAATACAATATCATGTTCAGTTTTCTGTATCTTGTTGTACGAGTAATAAAAGAGAATGCATTTTTAAACTTACCTCATACCCAGTAACAGCTGGATTGAAAATGTGCTCCCAGGAAACAGATACTTCCGTGGATGACAGAACTTTTATTTTCACATTTCTAGGCCTTTCAGTAGGAGCTGGAAAATTGAACAGAATATTAATATTGTGAATCCAATATTCTAAGTAATATAGAATAAATAATTAAGGATTTCCAATTATTTCATTTGATGTTTTCTTTGGCAGCATGGTCAATATTTCTTCCAGTTTCTTCCAGAATAAATGCAAACAGTTTGGGTGTCCTATAGTTTTGACTTTATTAGGTAATTCATCACATACATGCATACATACACAGACATACACATACACACAAACACAAACAAATTAGCTTTTTTAATTGCTTATTGTGTTTTGATTAATTCAAGATTAACTAAATTAAACAGCTACTGCTGCTGCTGTTTAAATATTTTTAAAAGAAAATATTAACCTATTCGTGAACACAATTCACTGAAGGAAGTCTAATGCCTATAAAAATTCATTTGTGACAGAAAGATCAATGCTCTTCTGAAAATCCTTTTTTTAGCAAGTTGCAACATAAAAGCTCAAAAAACTCTTTCATATATTTAATCCTGTAACTGGGCACTCAGTCAAATATGTATCAAGTAGTTACTGCTCAGAGGAAACAATTACGTATATATTGGATGAAAATGTTCAAATAAAACTGAATAATCTTGTATGGAAAGGTATTTAAATTAACTTTTTATGCTAGTGATTTTATTACATTTAGAATTTTAGTGCATTTTCAGAGATGCAGAAGCTTGGCCTGCATTACAATATGCTCAGTAAAATAATAGAAAATTGATTTTTTTATAAAGAAATGTTAGCCTGAGAGGGACTAACAATCTGAAACTTTTATAATACATTGCTTTATTTGGTATGCACTTAAAACATGAATTATCATGACATGCCCTTTCCTGAATTCTGCTTTCTTCTCATGGCAAACATCCTTGGGCTCAGTTCTACTTTCAATTCATCCAATAAAAATGGATTTTCTGATATTACAGGTCAGAATTGACTCAGACGATATGTGAGCAGTCAATGTGCTAAAAAGGCTGCTTGGGTCAACTTAATCATCTTTGGAAATAGATCTTAGGAATTAGACTGTTTATATGAGAAGTCTTTTTAGTACATTACAGCAGTGGTCTCCAACCTTGGCAACTTTAAGTCCACAAGTCTTAAAGTTGCCAAGGTTGGAGACCACTGCATTACAGCAAGCGTAACAAAACCTATTCTTAACTTTCATCACACCATCTTTTACTCACCATCTTCTGCCGAATAGATAATAGCAGTAAGACTAAAAGGTCCTTCCCCTTTGTTATTAAATGCTTTCACCTTTACTTGATACTTTGATGAAGGAAGCATTGATTCATCCTTATGGACATACCGACCAATTTCAGGTTGAGGAACTATAACACTTTTCCAATCATTTTGATCAAAGGACTTGAAAGCGACAACATATCCAAAATTATTACCAAAATGATATTGTTTTGGCAAAGGCTATAAGATAAAACACAATAATTATGCATTCTTTTAATTTTTGTTCTTTGTTTGAGTGAGTATAAATAAGATTTCAATATTATCATCTACTAGGAGTAATGTTCCCATGAAGATTCTAAATAAGGAAATACATTTTTTTCTCAAGGCTTATCTGGTGGAAAGTTTCTAGATTGTCTTCTTCTTTCTCACAGATAATCTGAAACCAGATTAAAATCACAGATCAAACACTTTCTAAATATAAAATAACTTTTATAAAAGACCTTCTACAATATCAGCCTATATAATTATCCTCATTTTTATCCCTTCCCTCACTGTTAGCCATTATCTCATAATACATAGATTGTTAATGGAAATAGATGGAAATGTCTTTATATAACAAAAAGTAGTATCAATGATTTGCGCATTTAGAGCTGAAGGCACATATCCAGTATAGTCTTATTCTGGATGATTAAGTCTAAATTATTACAATGCTATGATTTTACCTAAATAAAGTGTAGTACTAAGTGACTTTGTATGACCCAAAATATAATAGGTTCTGTCAGATCCATGAATCTGCCATTCTTCAAGGGAAGAGGGGTCCCCTCTACTTCCTCTAGACTTTTCTATCCTTCTTTTCTATATATATAGCCTGTACCATGTAATTAATTGCTTTATAAGCAATTATAAAGCCTAGAGGCCTGGCACTTTCACCTTTTGGGGAATGGGTGGGGAGGGAGGGCCACGTGGACTGCATTGCTCAGGAAGCAAGCCTGAGAAAGGCTTCTTATCATTTTCTCAGAGCATCCCTTACAAAAAACATCTTCACACCTGCGGATTGCCCAAATCCACATCAGACGGTTGGGAGGGGATTCTAACTTCTTTTATTCCTATTCAGGGACATGCAGTCAGGGGAGGCAGGGCCTCACCACTGTCATCATGAAAAGTTAAAAAAAAATAAAAGGAAAAAGGCTGAGGTAGTTGCTGCCAGAGTCACAGTGGATAACTCTCCTTAGTGCTTAACTGCAGGAGGAGGTGAGAGAACCACATGCCTCCTTTAGCCTATCATTATGATCACTTG